TTAACTGAAATGGGCCGGCATAAAATAATTGGTCTTGCTCGAAAATTATTAGGCTCGAATAGATTAAGCATTCGGGCATCAGTCCGCTTTAACAAAATTCTGATTATTCTAAGACTCGGTTTTATCTTGAAAATAACGTTGATACTTGGCTAAATAAATTAGATTTTAATAATTAAAAATCGAATAAATTATCCATGGCTTAGACTTTAATACTTATTACTCAATTTAATGCAAATAATAATAATTAAATGCATCAAATTAGGAAACTAGCTATTTATGGAATTAGAGTCGAGCTCCATAAATAGTAAAAATATTCTGGGCGTTACATATTATGCTGGAACTCAATCCACCCGCAGGATTTAGCGTAACAATCCTTCATGAACTCACTTTGGGGACATCATCAAACTGTCACACACGGTGACGATAAATATTCTAACAGCACATTGTACATGTAGTACTATTACCCAAAACATCTGGAATGTTGACCCAGCTGAATGAATCTCACCTTTTGTGAATCAAAGCAACAGATACTACATGCACATGTATGTTTATATCTTACGAGTTAAGAGAACGCAATAATTAAATGAGTCTATGTTTGTTTACGACGATCAGTATAAAACAATATACTACTCTCTGTGATCCTATTCAATACATAAATGTACTAGTGCAACTAATCAGTCAAGATCAACTGTATCGTTGACACTGCAACCGTTCTGATGGTTTGTTCATTTTCATCTAGATTGCGAACCAACAATTCTTGTATCGCAAGTAACTGAGAAAATGATCTTCTGTTCACTCGCTAATGAACCATTTTATCTAAGTGCAAAACAACAGAACATATAACTTGTTTAACCAAACATAATTCTCATTCAACAAAGATAAAGTGTAATATCATCCAAAGTCAACCTTTCAGTATATAACACCAACAATTTCCCACATATACTTAAAGCTTCCACTTTTACAAGTATAGTCCTATCAGTCTGTTATTCTAAAAGACATATGTTGATCCCGTAGCCTCATATTTGACTCTCGTTCCTTCTACATGATTGACGAAGACCTTTCCCGACAAACTCTTCATGAAAGGTTCAACTAGATTGTCCTATGATAAAATCTTAGCAACCTCGACGTCTCCTCATCCTACGATATCTCGTATCAGGTGGTACTTGCGCTCTATATGTTTGCTTACTTTGTGGGCTCGTGGTTCTCTTGAGTTTTTTACTGCTCCATTGTTATCACAGTATACGGTGATACTACGTGGAAAACTCGGAATCACGTCTAAGTCCACCAAGAAGTTCCTGAGCTAAACTGCCTCTTTCGCTGCCTTAGAGGCCGCGATGTACTTGACTTCCATGGTGGAGTCTGATATGCATTTCTGCTTAGCACTCCTCCATGAAATGGCTCCGCCTCGCAAGGTAAACACATAACCTGAAGTTGACTTACTCTCGTCCCTGTCTGACTGGAAATCAATATTAAAAACTTTCTCCAAGTGGAAAAGGATAAAGAAAATGCAATTCTTTAACACCTAATTTAACATTGGGCAACATTACATTTAAATTATATTTGAAATTTTACATAGACAAAAATAAAGCAGTGGAACATCTTTGTTTACACAGAGTGACGATACTTATGTATCGGGGGCAGGTCTATTATTTATTTTTTTTATTGATTTAAAAAAATTATTTAAAAATGACCCAAATTTATGTATCATGATTATATATGGAAATTAATATTTATTATCAAAAACATATTTTATCAATACAAATGTTGTTAAATTAAGCTTAGATTGTTGGCAAATTGATTTTCGATGTTCTGGTGATAAGGATTTCGATCGTCGATGATGTAACACTCAGAAGTAGCTTGACACACCGATTTGAGAGAGTAGTTCAGAAAAGGTCAGGCTAAAAGAACTCCCGCATATAGAAACAGGATGCTTTGTCAGGTAGTCCGTCAAGGACTTAGGGTACCGGACTCACAAAACAAATATGACCTGAAGGTATTGTCCTCCAGGAGCCCGACAAAGTAATCGACATGATTATATCGAGGTCGGGTGCTCTGAGGACGGGTTAGAACTAAGACAAGAACAATTTAGACCTCAGGATAATGTCAGGTACGTCCTCAAAAAGGCCACGACAGACATGTCAGGAGATCGAATTTACGACCTATGAATCCATGGGCTAAAACAGTAAAAGGCGAATGAATCCATGTGAGAAGGAAAGAATCACTCGCTCAATGACTCTTACCAAGATAAAGACGTGGAAAGTTAGGGAAGTAGAATCCGGTTGGATTTCTTCCCTAACAAGAACTCTCTTTGTCCACAAGGTATTAAGTTTTATAAAAGGACGACAAGTTCTCTTATATAACATAATGCACATTCGACATCTTATTTGGTACATTCTTATTTACAGTCGAGCAAGTTTTGACTTGAGCATCAGAGAGTTTTCTGCCGGGACTCCCCCCTTTCGGCATACTGAAGGTTATTGGAGGCTCAAGGAAGAATATCATTCGAGGCGCGAGGTGTTCAATTCATTTCTGACCAAATGTGATGTAACAAATTGGCAACATTTGTGGGAAGTCCCAGTCTTTTACCGGCTATAAGGGGCTGACGACATTCTCACACCTCGAAGACCCATAAGACAATTCAAAAAGCATAGAGAAAACCATGAAGGCAATTCATTCACACTTGGGAACCTGGGGGCCTCCATGTTGTACCCAAATATCTTAAGATCTGATATGATCCACTAAGAAAAAGTTAGATAAATAATTAGGCTTATACCAGTTCAAACTTAAGCGACCCAAAAATCAACACCAACCGTGATATAGGATATTATACTGGACCCGGTTTAATGAATGAAACAGATACATATTGGAGGATAAGCCCACTAAGACATCTAAGCCCAACGGTAGGGGTTAAGCCCAACTTGGGCCCAAAAGGTACACTCCCCCTATAAAAGGGGGCCAAGGTACCTCATTCTCTCATTCTCTACTCATTTGATGACTACACTTTCTCTCTCTTGATGGAGCACTGACTTAGGCATCGGAGGCCCGACGCCGGGGCCACCCCCGGCGTTGGGTTCTTCCAGGTACGGAGGCCGGTCGAGCTGAAGGAGCCCGGGTGAAATATATTTCACTGCATTGGTGCCGTCTGTGGGAACCCATCAGAAAGCCAAGCGGAGTTCCGACTGAAAAAATTGGAAAACCTCCTTCTTCTCCGTCGTCCGCTGCCACCGTCGGCCACCGGAAAATGTGCTCCGATTGGGAAATCGTTTACATCATCGGATAGATCTCGTCGAGGTGAATCTACCCTTAAAATTTGGAGCAAAAGTTTCTCCGGGACGGCCGTCGATTTTGCGGTCAAAGTTTCCAGATCTAGCAAAAATTTGGTCAAAATCGAGCATTCAAACGCATTTTCCCGGCGATCCGGGAAGGC